TTATGATAAAAATTTACAATCATAATAGCGATAATTTCAACCTAACATAACGGAAATTGTTATTTAATGGTAATGTATAAAAATATAGGAATTGACGTCATTACGAAAGATACTTTATGGGAACAAAATATTTTCAATGAACACATCAAGATACACATAATATAAAATTTAAAAAAGAATCAATCAAAGATGTAATAGTGCTTATGCGCTAGACACAAACGTGAAGTTATACGTATAATCATTGCAACGTAACCCTACAATTACTATTGTCCTTGAATACATGAGTAATAATTTATAAATCCCAGTTAAAGTTCGAGGTTTTTCAGTCATATTTATGTTCTATGATTCTAAAATGCAGATTAAAGTTAATAATAAATTTATAAAACAAATATACATATTTTATTTATTAATTTAATATGGATATTTAAATTATATTTATATTTATATTATAAATAACATTTGGATTGTTTGATATTTCAATCGTTGAAATATTTCAAGTTTTTTTATTTTAATATAAAATCTATTTTATGATATTTATTATGGAATATAATATCGTTCAAACAATCTTATCTTTTTAACGAGTGCGATTTTATCTGACATCCAATATATTCTCGTATAATAATCTATTTCATTAATAATATTTATAATATTATTTTTGATTCGTCAATCGTTTTTGAATGATTGATATGAACTTGATATGAACAAAACAGTGTTATATATCAAAAGAAATACATTAAATTGCATTAATGATTATTTAATTCATGCACGAAATTGAATATCAACTTCATTGGATCTTCTTCTATGCAATTTTTTTGAAAAATAAACTTTATGTTGATAATGCAAAATTGATTAATAACTGTAATAAAAATATTCTAATTACTAATATTTATCTATTATAGATACGAAAATATAAAAAAAATTAGATGAAAAGAAATAGAAAACCGAAAAATCTATTTAAATAATGTATTTCATTTTTTTTGTTTTATTTTAATTTAAAAGTAAGACATTTAATTTAGATGAGTATATATTTATATGTATAATATAATATTTTTTATATTATTTTGTTAAATTGTTATAACTTTACTACTTGTAGATATAAAAATTTTGAGAAGTTTTTACGATAGAAAACCATTATGTTATTATTGATTAGTATATTTAATAATGTTTTTATCACTAACAATATCAATTATAATCATTACAAACTGATAATTTAATCGATTATTTCAATTCGTGTAGAAACACATATGTGTATAGAAACATATACATAATACGATGTAATGAATGAATAAAAATTAACCAATTGATACGAGTAACTCTGACATCATACAACCTTGAAATTTAACAATTGTGGACATATTATTCCGAATAAAAAATTTTATAATTTAATAATGTTCTAACCATTATTAGAACTTTAATATAAAATAATGTATTGAATCTTTTTCATGAATAATTTAATTTTAGAATTTCTTTAAATTAGAAATGATAAAATCAATAATGAAAAACCAAACTATGAAAAGAATAAAAATATTTAATTTTATTTAATAAGTGTTATTTTTACTAATAAATTTGAGAAATAAAATAATTAATTGTAATTTAATATAATTAATTAATTATTAAATTACAAATATTTATAGAAAAAGCATATGATCATGAACTTTCATGTATGACAAATATACAAGAAAGATAAGAATGAAATCTTAAAAATAAGCCTGAAATCCTGCTAATAAATTGAAGTTTCAATTTATTAATTAAAAATTTATAAAATAGAAATTGTTAATTTAAATTATTAAATACATTAATTTTCGAAAAATAAACTGGTTCTATATTATCATTTTTTTTTCTATAGATATGCTCAGAAAATTTTTCTAATACATAATAATATATAAGAGATATATTATCAATATATTATATATTAATATATTAATCAATATTATCAATATATATCAATATATTATTAGTATATGTAATATTAAATACTAATAATAATTATTAACAATAATTAATTAATAACATATAATATTAAATATTAAATAATTAAATATAAGCAATTATTAATATATTTTATAATTATTATAGTATAAATAACATAGTTAACAATTAAAAATATTTTTATTATTTATTATTTATTTGATAGTATTAATTGATTACGTTTATAAATTAATTTTTATTTATGCGTCAGAATTCTTTCTACGTCATACAATATTATCAGTGTTTAGGCATTTAACTGCGATTTCTTTCCGCATTTTTTGGCAAACAAATACTTCATTCATTACTTTCATTAAAATTGAAATTATTTTGTTTCTCTTTTAATGTTATTTTATTCCGAACTTTTAATATTTTAAATATTAAAAGTCACTTTCAAAATTTAATTTATCGTTGCGATAATTTCTGATAAAACTCAAAATATCATACCATTATATCTAATGTCCAATTAGCAATTCAAGGATACAAAATTGCAGTTTGATGCCACTTATAATCAGTATTCATTGTTCATTATTATCATCGACGTTATACAATGGTATAAAAATTTAGCGATAAATGAAATTATTTTAACGAAATAGATATTTTATATAAGCACAATATAATGCATATATATTAAAATTATGCATTTTATTATTTTCAAAAAGTATAAAATAAAAAATATATTTTTAGAATTTTTTAATTACTAAATATATTTTTCTCCAAATTTTATTGCATTATTTTATTACTTTTTAATAAATATTCACAATCATTATTTTAAAAAATAATTCTTTGTATTTTTCGAAAAATTAATTTTTTTATGTCACTTTAGAATATAGTTTATTATAGGTACATATTATAATATATATATTTTATTAGTAGCTAAGATAAGAATAGAATGATAAAATCAATGATATTAAGAGACTAATTGTTGACCTTCCATAGTGATAGGTTTATTTTCCGGTACTCTTAACTTCCTGAAACTATGCTTGTGTTAGTGCTATTCACGTTGAATGAGAATTAGCGTGACTTCTTAGTGTGCGGTCGACGTTCCTTGTATTTTTTTTCCGCTCTGTTGTATTAGGATTTTAATATTGCACGTTTACGAGTCATTGCTCGCGTTGAAGGTTTTTTCGGCAAGAAAAAGAAATCGATTATGCTTTGTTCCGTGTATTGAAAACTAATAACTTTTAATTGAAAATATAAATATATTGATAGAAATATTTAAAAAAAAAATATCTGAAAATTTTTAGAATAGAAAATGTTATTAATTTTTTTATATTCTTAATAAATAGAATAATAACAGAATCATTGTAAAAAAATTTTTTTAAGGAAAGATGAAGAAAAATATTGAAATAATTTTATTTTATATTAAATATTCGAAATAGCTTCAGATTTTTTAAATATTTTTTTAAATCTTTTACAATTCTAAAAAGAAGTATGTATTTATATCAGTTTTCCTTTTAAAATCATAAAATGTCTGAAAGAATATAAAAAGAATATATGAAAAAATTATATATATATATAATTTTAATAAAATAATTTTTATTATTTTATTTTTTTAATGTTTTTTGTTATTATCTTGTGTTTCCATAATTGTCATTTCCATAATTATTTCTATAAAATGTAATGTAAAAATAATTAAATTATATTAATAATTAATTAGATATAATTAATTTATATTTAAATAAATTTTTTTTATTTAGAATTAATTAAAAGATTATCATTTAACATTATTAAAAAAAAATTTTAATAAAAAAAAACTTATTATATTTAGAATTTGATAATGTTTATTACATATATTCTGATTGGATTTCATTAAATATTATTTTACTCTATTTTGTAAAATTATTTTTATACAGAAAATATTCCTTACTAGATTAATTATTGCCTTTAAATTCATCCTCATTAAATGTATCTTACAAGATTCTTTCTTCATCTTTTAATATTATAATTAGAATATAACAATATATATATAAGATATTTTTTATTGTAATTATTATAATTATTATAAATAATTAGACATATATATTATTATTAATTTTTCTTATATAATTCATTTTTCTTATATAATTCTTAGAAATTGAACTTTTAATCTATTGAAATATATAT